GCGGTAAGGACTATCACATATATTCCGGTTTTTTCGAAATTCAAAAAACTTTTTGGATTTTTTAACTATTATATTCAAAAAATCTATTTTTTGATTTTTGGGGGTCAAAATCCAAAAATTTCAAAAATCCGAGATAGCAGATTTGTAGCCCTGTCCATTCTACAGCTTTTATGTCAGTATCATTTTTCTGTATTTGCAAAGCTATAGGCCTGACAGCTCTTCCCGCGAAACCCTTTTTTGGGTCGAAAACGGCAGAACATGACGTCACTCTGACGTCATTTCCGGCCAACCTATCATAGCCTTTGGAAAAATTTTTGGTCACAATGTGTAAAATTGATGTCCGGGAGGGTACTGAAAGTTTGGTGACGATCGGCGCAGTGGTTCTGGAGATATATCGAAAAGTCTGGAGGGGGGCAAAAAATAGCCCCCCCCCCACCAGGTCGCGGGTTAACACAGGTCAGGTCAAAATAAAGATTATCGATATTTGGCTTGATCACTTTTTGGGCTCTGGCTGCCGTCTTACAAGTCAGATCACGCTAATTTTTTGTTTAAACACTCGTGAACAGATGCTTTAGATACCATGAGGGTACCAAACTTGTACTTTGATTTTCTGGTCAGGGTCAGGTCATCATAGGTCACGGAATTCTTAAGTCATAAGTCGGTCACGTGACATTATGGTCCATTTAGGCCAAAGATTTCGAATTCGGTGTCGTCTGTGTCATTTGAGGCCATTGTCATCTGAATATAGCTGAGGTCAGGTTTTTAGGTCAAAAGAGGTCAAATTTCAAAGTTGAAATTTTTCAAAAAAATATATGCCTATCGGATGCAGTTTGAGCTCAGGAACACGATGGTGCTACTTATATTGGTGTACGATGTCAAAAACGTACTGAGAAATTGGTTTGAAAAATATAATTGTGATTTTTTTGCAATAATGCGTAAAACTTGGCCATTTCTGAAGATATTTAGCAAAAGCTTGCTAGAGTAAATCATAATCATGTGTTCTATCACATATATTTCGTTTTTTTGAAAAGTCATTTTTTAAAGAAAAAATGTAAATATAAAGTTCGAATTTTATTATACAGGTATAACTTTCAAATTTTCAAAATTTTGAAAATCTGAGATAACAGTTTGATAGCGCAGTCTATTCTGAGTCCTCTCATGCAAAGAAATTGGATCTAGCTTAAAAACTGAGCTCTTGGGAGCGATTGCCGTGGTTCAATGTTTTGCGTCGAAATCGGCCGAACATGACGTCACTCTGACGTCATTTCCGGCCGACCTATGGTAGCTATGAAGTTAATATTTTGACACAAGGTGTTAAATTGATGCAGGCGAAGGCACTGAAAGTTTGGAATCGATACGTCAATCGGTTTGGAAGTTATTGCAGAAAAACGGGAGGGATTGCTATTAATAGTCCCCCCCCCCAGTCAGTGGGGCGCGGGTTAAATCCTATATCGTTTCTTGCGAGCCAAACATCAAGTTTGTTTATAAAAACGAGCTTCTTCATCAAATTTCAGCAATAACTAAACTAGACATACCGTGTGGACGACAGCTGACTCTTTCTGCGCCGCACCGCACTTTGATTTGTATTACACTGGTAAATCGGAGCTACCATAGCCGGTCCGTGGGTTCGTGGTGTCATTTGCAGCCAGTGCTGAATATCGAGGCATTCGGCCGGCAACGCAGGCCCAATCGACCTTGCGGACTCCGAAGCAGCAGAAAATGGAATACATGGATGATGGAACATGAACTAAGCTAGTAAATACATCGGCTATTAACCCGCGCCGTGCTGGGGGGGGGCGTTTTTACGCCCCCCCTCAGGTTTTTCGCGAATATCTCAAAAACGGCGGCGCGCAGCGCCGCCGTTTTTGGTACACGTGTTTCTACATCATTTCCGCACATGTTGTGAAAATTTCAGACCTAGGCCGTTCAAGGTCAGGTCACCAGGTCACGTCAAGTGACCTTACCTCAGAAAAAGTTCAAAGGCTCGCTATAGCTACACCGACTGAACGATCACTTTGAAACTTTTAGCGATTGATATGAGTAATAGTATGTATAAAATGTATATCTCGGATTTTTGATATCTGTGACCTAAGGTCAGGGTTGTATACCAATCAAGTCGATTGAATTGATTGATTTGTTTCAACGCGTATTTTGAGTTGATTGGATTGAGTCGATTGACTTTTCGAGATGACTGGTTGACTGACTCGTTTGGCTTTAGCGACTGGTTGACTGATTTGATTCCCGAAAATTAGAGTGACTCGTATGATTGAGTCGATTGAATGAAAAGTTCAAATAAGTTTTAGTTGACGAAAAATAATGACACCAATTGATGACATCAAAGATCACAAAACTACACTGAAAACTGCTTGTCATCACAACTGCAATATGGGGTAGAAGGCCAAATAAAGAACAGGGCCTAAACATGAACGGCCAACTTTGACTTTCAACTGCAATAACTGCTCCAATCCTGCAGTGATAGAACTTGGCGATGCACCTACCTACCTTTCTGCACTCAGCAGGAAACGTTTTTTTTAATCCAGATGATAAAGTGCAAGGTCCTATATACTAATAAAGTGTGATTAATTAATAATTCACACCTCCACATCTCCTCAGAAACAACCCACTGAACTCTATAAATATCTGAAACCCCTACAAAAATAACTGAAACAAAAGCGCCGTTTTCGTCTCGCTAATTACGTTTTCGGGCCTAATTAATAGCTAATTTGCTGCATTGTTTAATTTGCAGCAGAACGTTTGTTGATCCTTTTCTCCTGAGAGCCTAAGCATAACATATTTAATATATTTCATTTTCCTTAAAATATTTTACCGAATATTATTAATAGTGGTTTTATTTCAAATGATATAATAATCAAAACGAAATTGGTGTTGTACAACCGATTTATTTTATGATGAGCTACCATACTACATGATAATCAATGACGTCATCTTACCAAAAAATCAAAAGACGTAGAATAAGGATTTATAAAAGCTTAGCATACTTATTGGCAAAAAACGCACTCTCACCGTGCCGTTTTAGCGTTTTAATTTTCCTTCACTATGATCTTGCAATTTATCAACTTTATTTCATAAATGTACCAGATTTATCACAGGCTATATTAATAAGGAAAGGAAGGAATGATTGACCTACCTCACAGGTACTTACCTATCTACCTTCGTTGGTACTGTTGGTAGCCAGTGGACACATTTAGGCAGGTAAGTAGGTACCTACCTGCTTTCCTGCTGTCTTCATAAAGCATACCTAATGAAGTTGTCAAATTTGTAGCACATTTTCAACACTTTCATATGGTGTCAGTGTGGCATGAAACCTAGCTAGGTTCATTATGTTCAGGATTCATTTCAGAAGAGCTCCGCATAACTCACATAAGAGACAGACAGGGGCTTTACATGAGGTAGATGGCCTGATGACTTAGCTGGAATATGGTCAAAATTAAATTGACAACTTTTAGGTGAAAGGTGGTGATTTGGGTTAAGGGGCGAGTCAACTACTGGGTTATTTTGCACCCATTAAATGAAACTTCTGCTCCAATTCTACCCATTGAACCTCAGTATCATGATCCACCTGTCCATCACTAGGTATCCTTCCTTATGACATAGAAACTTTGAATGGCATGGTAATTTATAATTTTAAATGACAATATTTTTATGTTTCTTCTGTAGGTAGGTAGGTAGGTAGGTAGGTACACTAGACTGCTATGGACACTTTTCGAAGTTGGTGGGGCAAAAAACCTAATGTATATCTTGGTTTGAGTCGTTTGATTGAGTTGATTGATTCCTTTCATTGGCGCGTTTGAGTCGATTGAATCAATTCCCGAAAACTGCTCTGACTTGATTGATTTGATTGGTTTCCCAAATTTGTCGTGATTGAATTGATTGCTATTGATTGAGTCGTATACAACCCTGCCTAAGGTCAGGTCAATTTTGCGACCTCTCCATTATAAGTCAACGGGAGAAAATTGAAATGCGCCTCTTTTGGACGAATATCGTTCAAAACGCTCTCAAACATCGGTTCATAGGTAAACATGACACACTGAATAGGAAAAATGCACCTGTGACCCCTCTGTGTGCCCCTGAGGTCATCTCAGGTCATGAACGGTCGCCAGCAGTTTTTTGGCTATAACTTTTGATAGAGACGTGCTAGAGCGGTGAAAACACGTCAGATGTGTTCAGCTCGACGATACGGATCGACTGATATGCAACATGACCCTTTTCGGTCAGGTCATGACCTTGACCTGAGGTCAAATTTTCAAAATGACCTTTCAAGGTCAACAAATAGTTCATTCGACGCGTCTCGACGAGAGGAACACGATGCTGGCAAAAATAATGTCATGGCGCTTATGAGTCAAAAGTTATTGACGAAAAAACGTTTTTCGTAAAAACGGCTATTTTTGGAGTTTTTGCCCTCTGGAGGCTAAACCGTTGACCTGAGGTCAAATCTGAGAACATTATCCAGAAAGGTCTGTAAACGGGCTATCGAATGCGCTTTTCCGCGGCGCTGTAGCTCTATCGGTTCCCGAGATAGCCGTTGGCAGTTTCCAAAATGTTGAAATAGTCAACATTTTACCTTTGGTGACCTCTGGTGACCTGACCTTTGACCTGACCCAAAAAATGACCGAAGTGTTTTCGTCCTTATTTTTGACGCTCTTTCGATTGCCGCTTACCGCGTGTCGATACGTGGCCCAGGAGCCGAGTTAGACGGGGGGCGTGAAAACGCCCCCCCCCCAGCACTCGGCGGAAAGTTCAGGCCACCAGCACGGCGCGGGTTAATATAGATGAATAATGATTATGATCATTCCCCCTCTCCTCTCCTCAAAAACATGTTTGCCACAGACAGCCCACCTCTGTTCTGTCACTGCGTCAGGCTTGGCTGGGTCATATACGACCCCGTGAGCTCCCGATGTGCATATTTATCCAGCCCGCTCCAGCCGCCGCCCCCGCCGCCGCCCCCGCCCGCGCGGCGGCGCGGCGGCCCGGGCGCGCCCCAGTCGCCCAGTGACTGTCGAGGCGCGAGGATAGGTTGGACAGGCGGCCAGCTCAGCCCTGAGCGGGTCCAGTGAACTGTTAGGGCCGCGACCAGTCGGCCAGTTGGCCCCGTGTGCTACTAACCGGCCGAGGTCACCAGCGCCGTACGGCCAGTGGTTGTGAGGCAGCTGTGGTGAGCACGGTCGGGCTGAGATGGCACGAGCGAGGTGGACCGGACCGCCTCTGCTGGCTGGACTGTTCGTGGTGCTGACAGGTGAGTTGAGTTCACTTGTTTTGTTAGTTGGGTTATGAAGTTGACCTTATAATATACCCAAAGGCTGCTTGATGCGAGCTAGTGTGTGTTCGTGGCACATTCTGCGACGATCTGCTAATGTGTGTGATGGATCGTTATTATTGCCATGAATTTGTATAATAATCGAAACGCAGTTGTGATAAAAAGGCTAAGTGAATGTCACTCACACGTCCTAATATCAATATGAGCAGGGGTAGCCAGTTATTATCACCTTGATGTCAAAACAGTCTGGATCTTTTATCGAATCATCACAAGTTCATAAACACAAGACTCAAGAGCCTTCAATAATAATTTTCTGCTAAATTTATTCGATATCTACTCCTTACCCACAGTATAATGTGTAAACTAAGTGGTGTTCGTGATAAAAAGAGAAATACGACCATTTGTGTCGCTTGTCATCCCAGCTACATCCAGAACCGGACACACCACTCAACGAGACATCGTTTATGAACTACGTCCACAAAAATACGTTGTAAAGGCGCCTCCCGCGTACGCAGTGCGCATGCATGGTCACGACCTTCGGGCACCCGCGTACTGGTGGTGCATCTACACCTGTCCTGCCAGCACGCCACTCGGTACCAGCATGAATCTCAGCTGCCAGTCTGGGTTAGCTCGGAAAAATGCAGAAGCATCTAACTGGGTCAATGTCACCCATCCCATTCCACAAACCAGTCCCAGGATCTCGTGACGAGATTCACAGATTGGGGACATGTTTGACTAGAGTGTGCCTATTTTGTTCGTTTAGGGAGAAAACGACAGCCACAATTCCTCTGGATTGTAGGACTGTTTAGTAAATATAAATTCGTTCAAATATTATGCTAGTTTTAGTTTCTGTCAAACATCATTCATCGGAAACAAGTCGACAATCCACTTCCCCATTCTACCGAAAAAGCCACGCACGACAGTCGCCACCATGTGTGTTTTTCGCACATCCATTGTTTGAAATCTGCCTGCCGTGGCACATCTCCTCCTCTCCTTCTGCGCGTGCCGTCCATCTGTTCCCTCCCACCTCTCATCCCACGGGGACCGCTGCTTTTTACCGAGCTCCGCGGCAACGCCAGGAATAGAGACCGCGGAACCGCGACCGAGCACGACCAGAGCGGGCCGCTCGCGCTGGAGCGCCGTGCCGACCACCATATGGCGGACCACCGCCCGCCGTATCCGTATCGGGCAGATATGGGGGCAGACAGCGATGTTGATGACCACTGACCAGGGTGGAGCGGTCGGCTCCGTGCAGAGGGCTCCGTACAGGGGCCTGGGTGGAGCGACCAAAGCCGACGACCCGCACCCAGTAGCCGCATGGATTTGAGTTGAGATATCTCGGCACGAGCTACCGCTGTTTTGGGCGTTAGATATAATGTGGGCGTTTTTTCGTTGGGCGTCTTAGGCGTGCCATTTTTTGGTGCATAGCGAGTTAGTATTGAGAAGTCACGAAATCAGTCTAGAAAGTTGCCAGCCAGGCTATTCATTATGTTTCATTTAATTCATTGCCTTCGATTATGCCACAACGCACTTTTAGGTTCTGAATGTCTTTCTGTTCTCTAGCAGCAACATCTTCCAGCATCCTTCCGTCCTGCTGTGCCATGTTCAGTCACGCCTTGCCGTGAGGTGGGCCTCAATCGCTCCCATCCTGCCAGCGTTCGTCGACCCATGCACCTCCTCCGACGGGTCGGGTCGTCCGTCACGAGTAATTTGAGTCCAGTCACGACCTGGGCCGGTACTGGGCGGACATCAGACTAGCAACAGCTGGGCTCCGGCTGTAAGTGGACTGAAGCGTCTTTCATGTGGTGTTGGGGAAAGGGAACATCGGAGAAGAGAGTTATTTCAGTTGAAATTGTGGTTACTATGAGTGGGGATCGAAAGGGCAGCCGAAGGGGAGCCTCAGTCTGTAAGGTGGACTGCTGAAGGAGTCGGCCGAATTGGGAGGTAGGTGTTCATTCAGACAGCAGCCAGCCCCACCCCATCGTGTGTTTTTCAGATGTACAGTGCGGCTGGATCAGGTTAAGTTGATTACTAACACACGGATGCTAGATTATTATTGAAATAGCACCGGAATTTGTTTCTTTTGGTGCGATTATTTAGGAGCGCGAACTTTGTTCTTTGATAACGGGACACTTGTAGTTGTACCCGGATATTGAACTTCCAAGTTGCAGGTCTGGAAACTCACAAACAACTTCACAAACAATCACACTGTAACCGTCTTATTTTCCAAGAAATCATACGGATCCTATATGTTCATATAACAAAACTGAAATGGCCTTGCGTCAAGCCGCCCATACGCCTCCTTCACTCACCCATCAGAGTTGGAGGCTCTTCTCATCACGAAGCCACATGCCCTCTCTGCAGCCGCCCACCCCAACCCTGCATCAGGCTGTTACCTCTGCCCACTCAGCACGGCCTCCGCCCACTCGGCACGGTCCCACCCAAGGGTCCCACCCACCTCCGGCCGTCTGCCTGGGTCAGTTTGTGCAGCGCCGTGCACACATGCCGTGCTGGTCACCGGTCGTGCACAGCTTTACGGCCCAGTCACGGTCTGGGAAGACGAGCCGTCGGGGAGGGACGTTTATGTTCAGGTGACGGAGTTATAGTTGGACTTTGTGCCGGGGAGATACCTCCAGTCAAAACAGACCTCACGGTATACACACGAGTGATGACTGTTGGGCCACGTCACTGACTGCAGCCATGCCACTGAATAAGTGGAGATATGGATGCCACCTTCAAAAAGTTTTCTCAGATCGGCCTATGATTTATTCCCTGGACAAAACAAAATTTTAGAATTCACCTGACAAAGTATCATCACGTGAATCGCGAAAAAAATTGTCGATTTTCATACAATTATCAATCGGTTAATGTCTAGCGACAATGTTTACACATCACTAGACTTCAAGGTCATAAGATTATTACATTTTATTTGAAAAAGTAAGGTATTTTATAATTTACTAATATATGATTTCATGAGAAGTTGGCCATGTTTAATTTATTTTGCATTTAAGTTCGTAAAACATTTTAAAAAAATCATGGCTCATTTGGAATGGGTCTGGCCCATGTTAAACCCCATTTCCCACACTTTTTTGGAAAAAATGAACTACTGAATATATCAGTTTAACTTTTATTTTGACACTCCAAAATTCTTCTCTGATCTCGAAACAATCAAAGTTTTGGCATATATTTACCAAAAGATAAGAAAATTCATGTTTCAAAGTTATCGATAAACAGTAGAGATGTCGGTTTTCTTGGACTAAAAAAATGGCATCAAACTGAACTTTGGTCTCCGATTTCTCGCAAACGGGTTCGAATTTCGGAAAACCGACTTCAGTCTGGGACATAGGTGGCTCAGCTCTAGTGAAAACCGTTTTGTGGAAAAAAGGTGGCAGTCTACCTTTAACAGCATTTCACACACACACACTGCTGGAGCGGGGGTACAGTTTCTCCTATCCGAGCCGTGTAGGCAACTGACTGCTGAAGAACGGGGCGACGGTTTTGCCCCTCCACACCATGCTTGGCTTCTAGGGGACATTTCTAACCCGTGGTCAAGCCGACCAGCTGACTACTTGGAGACTGTTTTACTCTGACCAGTGGCCATAAAACACATGCTACCTTTTTCAGTGAGAGGGGGAGGTTCCACACTAGCCCCGCCGTATACAGCTAACGGGGTCAGTCTGCCCTGGCCACGCCAGAAAACTGGACAACAACTGCCATGGACGACAAATCCACCCTCCAGACCTCACAACTACAACCTCCAGCGATGTCAATGGTAGCCGTGGAGCGCTGCTGGCGTGCATACGCCTCCTATTCTCGACCGAGGGCACGGTTAGGTAAATAAACAGGGAACGCAGACGGCCGCCGCCCCCGCCCCCGCCGCTCCAATTTCACCCCCGTCCCTCCCTGGTCGGTCCATGAGGCGGCACCGAGACAGCGGGACGGGGTCGGGGTCAAACGAACAGCGCGAGACGACGGACAAGATGGAGTTGAACGTCAGAAAAATGATGATGTAGTTAGTCATGCAAGTCTGCCGTATGCGAAGTCATTGGGTCATCGTGAAATCACCAGACATCCGTATAAGATGTCTATTCCTAGGTCGTAATGCTTTTTGTTCAGAATTGCTCTGTAAACGATGTTCAATCTGTATACCATTTCAATAAGTTGCTAGGATAGTGGTCGACGATCTGTGATAATGCCGCAATCCTAAAATAACGACATCCTTGTTTTAAGCCACTACCAAATATCCCCCTACCAAGTGTATTACAAAGCGTCTTTTAGCGACTATTCAGGCCGCGATCCGCATTTAATCTACATGCTACACTTTAACGATGTCATTCAGCTGAGAGGCAGATTAGGGGTTGTTAGTAAGTCCACATTTCAGATCGTCAACGCTGCATTTCTCAAATCCCGGTCTTTGTCTTTGTCCTCACTGAAAAACCACCGTGGGCGGCTGGAAATCAATATTTCCTGAGGTAGCTTTTTTCCTCTGCATTGTCATCCTCCTCCTCTGGAGTACCCTCTCCTTTTCTCGGCTTCCTGTCGAGTGGCCCAGGCTGCTGCACGCGACTAAGAACTCCACCCTCAGACAGGGTGACATCACTGACACATTGACGCTCCAGCCGAGGTTTATTGGTGAAGGGTGACGGCTAGTAGGTCACGTGACCGCGAACAAATATGCCGCGTATTGGCTGCAGTGTATATCTGGCGACTGGCAATGCGAAACACCCGAGCAAATACTGGCGACCAGGAAACCGTCTTGATGAGGAGCTATTGGATTTGAGGAACAGACATCCCACTCCTTTGTTTATTGAATGCTTACCGGTCTGATATTACTCCTTTGATACATTCATTGCGTCCCTAGGCCGCGACACACGTGACGGTTTACCTCTCCGTCCCCCTGCCTGCCATGGCACGACCTCTCTGAACCCTCCTACCCTGTTTACGTGCGCTCCCGCGTGTTTGCACATCTGCGCTGAACAGGCACAGCGGTTTCTTTGATATCCGCCTGGTGCGTGACTGCAGTGTGGCACGTGACGTGTGGGTCCCTGTCCCCGGCTCACATGGGACCCCGGACCTGTTGTGCGCATTGCGCATGTCTAGCTTCTCGCACAATATTTACGTTCATATGTGGACTACGACAGTTTCGATATTAAAGTTCCATGTTTGTGATTCGTGTTTTTGTTTTTTTTTTGTCAGCAATGCCGATATTTTTTCCAATGCCGTGTATGTAGTATAGCTATGTAGTAAGCCACATCGGTGTGATCAAATCAAGAGAGAACAACAAATAGTACGATATTCAGAGAAGCTACCGATATTGGTGATTTTTTCCAGAATGAAGATATGACAAATGCCTAAAATTGCAGCAGTGGCGCAGCCAGGGGGGGTCAGAGGGTCAGCTGACCCCCCCGAAATTTCTGTCAGGGCCCGCTCGAGAGAGAGTGAGAGAGAGAGAGAGAGAGAGAGAGAGAGAGAGAGAGAGAGAGAGAGAGAGAGAGAGAGAGAGAGAGAGAGAGAGAGAGAGAGAGAGAGAGAGAGAGAGAGAGAGAGGAGAGAGAGGTCCTAATCTAATCGGACGAGCCCGCTTCGAGAAATGCCCACTGCGACACCTCGGGTGAGGGGTCGGCCTGGGGCCCCAGGTGGACAGGGCCCGGGCCCCCAGGAGAACGGGCCAGGCCCCCTGGGTGGATGGGACCCGGGCCCCCTGTAGATGGGTCCGGGCCCCCGGGTGGATAGGGCCCGGGCCCCCCGGCGGATGGGGCCCCGGTGGATGGATCCGAGCCACCGGGAGAACGGGCCCCGGGTGGACGGGGCCCGGACCCCCGGGTCCCGCGAGAACGGGTCCAGGCCCCTCGGGTGGATGGGGCCCGAGGCTCCGGGAGAACGGGCCCGGGCCCCCTGGGTGGAGGGGGCCCGGGCCCCCGGCTGGATGGGGCCCGGGCCCCCGGGAGAACGGCCCTGAGCCCCGGGTGGACGGGGCCGGACCCCCGGTTGGATGGGCCCCGGGCCCCGGGAGAACGGGCCCGGGCCCCCTGGGTGGATAGGGCACGGGCCCCTGGGTGGATAGGGCACAGGCCCCCGGGTGGATGGGGCCCGGGCCCCGGGAGAACGGGCCCGGGCCCCTTAGGTGGATGGGGCACGGCCCCCCGGGTAGATGGGGCCAGGGCCCCCCCCCCCGATGGATGGGTCCGGGCCCCCGGGAGTACGGACCCCAGGCCCCGGGTGGACGGGGCCCGGGCCCCCGGCTGGATGGGGCCCGGGCCCCCTGGTGGGCGGGCCCCGAAGCCCCGGGTGGACGAGGTCCGGAGCCCAGGTGAACGTGGCCCGGGCCCCCGTATGGATAGGGCTTGGTCCCCCATGTGGATAGGGCCCGAGCCCCCGGGTGAATGGGGCCCGCTAGGGTGACCCGCTTGCTTCGCAACGCGAATAAGGGGTATTTTCGATCGGTGGGCGTTTGGTTGGTCTTGTGTCTGTGGGTTATGTATCCATTACGGTCGATTGCCTTTTGACGGCTAAGCATTTTGGTTTTGGGAAAAAAATATCAATCGCATCGAGGTGCTCGTGTCTGATAATAACCATGCGTTCTACTATAGAACATGCCAAGTGTATTTCATGACATAGGTTGGCGTAGGTTATTGAAGAGTGAAAGCCATCGATGAATTACTATGTAGAGGTTTGAAACATTTATATTCTTAAGAATATTGTTGCTCGTCATGCAAAAGCGATGATTGGACCTTGGTCACAATTGAATGCTCTTCCAATCTATGCCCATTTCAATTGTCAAACATACCAGGTTATGTAGCAAAACCCCTGTAATTAAGTAAGTCATAAGCAAATGCTATTTTCTCCAGCAATTTGTTCCACCTTGTTTTTGATCAATTAGCTTTTCACAATTTTCCCATGAGAGGCGGTAGGTACATTTCTCTTGCCAACAAGCGTTGTTTGAACCCGCTCCGTCTGACAGTCACCCAAAAATAGCATTAAGTCCAAAATCCGTCCAAAACGTCAATTTTTCAAGCATAAGTGCCCTCACGGGTGCACGTGCCGCGTGCCATCCCTGCACCGCACACCATTCGATAGCCCGTTCGATTCTCATGCACGATACTGTGTTCCTCGTGCCGATCGGACCCACGGTTACCGAGATACTGCACGGGGACCGGACCCGTGTCGGGCAAGTTGAGCCATTGTCGCCCATTTTTGCAAGCCGATTTATGCATGTAAAGTCTATGACGCGAATTTGCACTTTTTGAGCACGCGCCATGTGCTCACCACCGGCCCGATCGAGCTGTGACTCTTCACAGGCACGTTACCCATCCTTGTTCTATAAGTTGCGCGAATTTCAGCGCACTATGGAAGTTACGTCGCGATCAGCCGCTTTTTTACGCGAGTTCTTCGCGAAAAAAACCTTAGGGGGTTGCATCAACCCCTCCCCCCTGTGCCGGCGAGGGTTAAAACTTCTTACGAGCGAATTCACGTAATGAAGAAGAATAAAAGCACAATCTACTACAGCAGCCAATAGATGACTTAGGACAGGCACATGGGACTACTTTTAAATCTTGTGCGACAGAAGCAGGCAACAGTTCCGATTGCATATAATATGCTATGCATATTGCGGAATTGGGGCTCATATCGGACTCGAAAGATACGAAGTCATACGTCATAGTAACATATTTCTGTCGTGGTCAATTTGCGTAAAAAGTGAAGACCGGGTGATTACCGAGCTACTGTTCTATGCAAATTTTCTGATTCAAACTCGCTCAGGGTTATCGTGCAGGTAAAGGGGGCCCGCCCAGCAGAATGCGTATGAAATATGGAGAGATTCTGAAAAATGGGTGGGGGCCCGCACACTAGGGGGCCCGCTTTGGAAGCGATGACCCCCCCGAAACGAAATCCTGGCTGCGCCACTGAATTGCAGTTGAATTTGTTTTCCTCAAGAAATAGTGACGAGACAAGGTAAAGAACAACACAGTCAGCCGACTATATAATCATATACCTTATAGTATCAGACTGTTCATAACATCACTAACGCATATCACTGCCGGTAATTTTCCAGTTCTGGATGCGATCTCCGGAGCCCCTGTCACCCGTCCGGACTGTCAGGATGGACCGTCGGCACCTCCCAACAGAGTTGATACGTCTGAACGGTGAGGCTGCTATGCTTGTCAGCACCTAGTAAAATGAACATCACCCTTTCTAAACCGGTTGCATTCATGTTTCAACATCAGGTGAAAGTACTTATGCAAATTATTCGCAATGGCCAACTGATCCAAACACTCGGTCGTGGTTGCACCAAAGTCCAAAGTCCGCGTGTTGTGATGCCTTCCACGATGTAAAAATGATATCTGGCAGTGTCTCGTTTTCGATAAAAGGAAATCACATCTTTCGATGTGGAGGGCTCAGCCGAGAAGGACCTGATGGTCTACGTTTTCTCTAGATTTTATGACTTAATTGCTAAGGCGGCTAAGACATTCCTTGGGTCCTCTCAGTGTTTCGTCTGATTGTCTCCCTCCAAGCACATGCTGATTGCTCACCCAGTGACTGTCAGATCGTGACAAAAGACGCCAGCACTGTTGTAGAAGGGTGGATCTCGGAGCTTAGTGTTTGCGTAATGCTTCTCTCTGCGTGCTTAGCATATTACTGATGAGTCATCAACACCCTTGCCTCACATCCCCCTCCCCCTCCGATCAACATTATCATTGCAAAGAGCAATGAAGTGAGCATGATGCTTCCGGTGCGGCGGTCATTAGCCGTTTCCGCTCATGTCATTTGTTTGTTTCCAACCGTTCCAGTGCTTCGAAGCACGCGAGGTTCCTGTCACTCCGCTCTGTTTGTGTGAGAGGGGGATGTTATTGGTTTGGAAGGGGTGGCACTATGGTGCCACATGGGCAGACTCGTGTTTGTTCAGACTGCAAACAACCTTGAACAGAACTGACAGTGACTCACCCCTGCCGTGAGCTGAATTTTTATGTGATGCAAATGGTGTTGTGCTATAGCTAGCTGCTATAGGGACCAGCGGCAGTGTCAAAGATAATGACATTCACGTGATCAATCCTGTGATAGTTCCAAGACATGTGTGCTTCGTCTCGCATCTTTCACTTTTTATCACTGATAGTTATCACTGATAAAAAAGAAATACTTGAATATTTTTCTGAAGGACTTCGGAAAAAGTATCTCAAAACTCGTTCCGTGATACCAAGCGGTTATCTGAGTAATAATATAAGGAAGAAGTTGAATGAACATGAAAAAAGAGTCTTAGACGAACCTATTTCTTTGAAAGAACTGAAACAGGCATTGATGAACATGAAAAAGGGCAAAACGCCGGGCTCGAACGGTTTTACATCCGAGTTTTTTAAACATTTTTGGGAATCATTAGGTATCTTTCTATATCGAGCATGGATTGAGAGATTCGAAGATCACAAAAATCTGAATTCACATAACGAAAGTATTGTTAAGCTGATTCCTAAACCAGGCGTACCAAAGGATTCGCCTAAAGGCTGGAGACCTATCTCGCTACTAAATGTAGATTTCAAAATTATATCGGCGGCAATAGCTAAAAGATTAAAAGCTGTGATACACAAACTCGTTTCACCCTCTCAAACAGCATACATTCCGGGACGTTTCATTGGGGAAAACAGTAGGCTGCTGTACGATGTTATTGAGCGCTTGAACAGTCAGGATGGGTCGGGGATTGTGATGGGGGTGGACTTTGAGGCAGCCTTTGATACAGTTTCCTGGGAATTCCTGTCAAACACGCTTGAGATTTATAATTTTGGTCATTATTTTCGAAAGCTCGTCAATGTGCTTTTTCTTAACCGAGATCTAAACTCACGTATCCTTCTAGATGGCAATCTTGGTGCAAAAATATTCATGCAAAGAGGCATTAGACAAGGTGACCCTATATCCGGCTATCTGTTTAATCTTATCATGGAACCTCTCGCGTATCAATTGAATACCTCTCCTTGTATAAGAGGCATCGATATATCCGATAGAACGGAAGTCCGATTATCACAGTATGCCGACGACCTCATTGTATTCTCAAGCGATAACATCTGTTCCATTAAAGGCATACTACATGAGCTTAATAATTACTCAAAGATAAGTGGATTAAAAGTCAATTTGCAAAAAACAAAATGTCTCCCTATAGGCCAGGTGCAGACTGACACCCTTGTGGAACTAGGTCTGAGCGTCGTTAGTGAGATGAAGATTCTTGGGATAGTGTATAACAAAAATAATGACAATATAACGTCTAACAATATCAGAACGATCATACCGAGGATAAAACAAGAGATAGCGCAATGGCGTAGAAGGCACCTAACGTTAATTGGAAAAATAACCGTTATTAAATCTCTTTTAGTCTCAAAACTAGTTCATTTATTGACATCACTACCAAACCTTGAGGAAGAGACCATTAAAGAGGTAGAGAACATACTATACCGCTTTCTGTGGAACAATGGCCCGGATAAAGTAAAACGTGCGCTAATAACAAAAGAATTTAGCGGGGGTGGCCTTAAAATGATAGATATTCGCTCCTTCATGACAAGTTTAAAAGTATCCTGGCTTAAAAGATTATACTGGGCACCTAAAGACGTTGGGTGGGCAATTATTGCACAGGATACAATTCCACCACTAGAAAACCTGGTCTGCTTCGGGTCAGTGAAATTAAGAATGGAGGCCAAAAAGGTAAAGAACAGGTTTTGGGAAGAAGTAATTCGCGGATGGTCGAGTTTCTGCACTGCATATAAACCTGACAACGATGAAATACTCGCGGACTTCATATGGTTTTCCGACAGCACAAAATACAAAAAGTCTATCGTTAAAGAATGGAACGAAAAAGGCCTTCGATTTATATCAGACCTGTTCAATCCTTTTGATGGCTCGCTACTGAGCAGAGAGCAGCTTGCAGCCACATATAAAATCAAAATGACATTTTTGTGCTATACCTCCATAATAAGAAGCCTGGCATTTGATACTTCCCCCAATGTAGCATGCATAGCTAAACACATATGGTATCCTATTCAACCTTTTAAAATCAAGCTTCTCTCACAAAACCTGCATCTTTCCAAAGTGGTATATAAAACCTTAGTAACAGGAATTAAAGTAAATCGCGATTCACACATATCTAAAATAAGTTGTAAGTGGATTCGAGATGTTGGTTCTATGCATAATGGAACTTTTTGCGATGTGCGATCGTCTACAAACAACACATATCTTCAAGCACTTCATTATCGAATTATTAACCGCATTGTTGCGACTAAAACTTTTCTCTGCCGAATCGGAAAAACAGAAACTGCTGCGTGCGACCTTTGTGGTAACGACGATACATTGTTTCACGCTCTGTATACATGCAACATAATTCAAAACTTTATACATAATTTAAAATCACATGTTCAAAGTCATTATAATATCAACTTAATAACAACACCTGAAAGCTGGATATTTCCTTGTCGTGACAAGGAAACAAACATTGAAATACTCATCAAATTGGTAGCAAAACACACAATAATGCGCTCCAAAAATAAGAACCGTCCCCCTAGTATCCCTTTGTTTACGTCCCTGCTCCGGGCAGAAGCCATGAAAGAAAAAAAGGCGGCTAAAAACTCTAGGCAATTTGAAAAATTCGAAAACAAATGGGGGAATGTTATAAATATTCTACAAAACATAGGCACCGATTGAAATGTGATGGCCGCCGCCGTCACCGCCGCCGTCGTCGCCATCCCGGTCGCTGCTGTCGGGGGGACCTGGGCTGCCCGCCCTCGCCGCCTCCGGAGAATGGCTGCCGCTGCCTGGCTGCTCGGCCTGCGCTGCCGTCGGCCGCGTTTCGGCTTCCTGCGTCGCCGCGGTGGCCGTGTTGGTGGCCGTTCCCTGGTGGAGCTGATCCGGCTGCTGTGCGCTGATGTGCGTTCTGACATTTGTAACAGGGACGGACGCCGGCACCGATACCCGAGTGGTGTCATACCTGTCAGCTGACGCGCCGCGCGTCCGTCTCGCGGTGGGTGGGTGGGGCCCCCACCGTGGGGGAGGGGGCTGTCGACGAGATGAGCTGAACTCCGCTCTTAATGCGATGTTGCAATGCGTCGTGCGTCAACTCCGTGCTCCGTGCCCGCGCCCCGTGAGAGCCGGGCTGTGGAGGCCGCCGGCGGGCGGGCCGCGCTTTGGGCGCTGCCGACGACGGGCCATATGTACGTAAATGTCTCCGCGGCCTCTGTATTCGGTTGGTGGTGGGTGACGACCGCTGGCATGCCGGAAGGGCTTGTGGTTCAGAATGGTGATAATGATCTAGTTGATATGCTATTTATGCAGTTTCATGTGCTCTTTACTGCATCTTTTGTGGGCGGATCGCGGAAGAGTGGAAGTGTGATGGATGACTGGACTGTGGCAGTAATGCTGTTTATTTGACAATAAATGCACTTAAAAAAAAAAAAAAAAAAAAAAGACCCACGGTTACCGAGATACTGCACGGGGACCGGACCCGTGTCGGGCAAGTTGAGCCATTGTCGCCCATTTTTGCAAGCCGATTTATGCATGTAAAGTCTATGACGCGAATTTGCACTTTTTGAGCACGCGCCATGTGCTCACCACCGGCCCGATCGAGCTGTGACTCTTCACAGGCACGTTACCCATCCTTGTTCTATAAGTTGCGCGAATTTCAGCGCACTATGGAAGTTACGTCGCGATCAGCCGCTTTTTTACGCGAGTTCTTCGCGAAAAAAACCTTAGGGGGTTGCATCAACCCCTCCCCCCTGTGCCGGCGAGGGTTAAAACTTCTTACGAGCGAATTCACGTAATGAAGAAGAATAAAAGCACAATCTACTACAGCAGCCAATAGATGACTTAGGACAGGCACATGGGACTACTTTTAAATCTTGTGCGACAGAAGCAGGCAACAGTTCCGATTGCATATAATATGCTATGCATATTGCGGAATTGGGGCTCATATCGGACTCGAAAGATACGAAGTCATACGTCATAGTAACATATTTCTGTCGTGGTCAATTTGCGTAAAAAGTGAAGACCGGGTGATTACCGAGCTACTGTTCTATATCTCGGAGCTTAGTGTTTGCGTAATGCTTCTCTCTGCGTGCTTAGCATATTACTGATGAGTCATCAACACCCTTGCCTCACATCCCCCTCCCCCTCCGATCAACATTATCATTGCAAAGAGCAATGAAGTGAGCATGATGCTTCCGGTGCGGCGGTCATTAGCCGTTTCCGCTCATGTCATTTGTTTGTTTCCAACCGTTCCAGTGCTTCGAAGCACGCGAGGTTCCTGTCACTCCGCTCTGTTTGTGTGAGAGGGGGATGTTATTGGTTTGGAAGGGGTGGCACTATGGTGCCACATGGGCAGACTCGTGTTTGTTCAGACTGCAAACAACCTTGAACAGAACTGACAGTGACTCACCCCTGCCGTGAGCTGAATTTTTATGTGATGCAAATGGTGTTGTGCTATAGCTAGCTGCTATAGGGACCAGCGGCAGTGTCAAAGATAATGACATTCACGTGATCAATCCTGTGATAGTTCCAAGACATGTGTGCTTCGTCTCGCATCTTTCACTTTATTCGTGACTGCGTCGTTAGACAAAAACCTAACGAATGTGTGCCTCATCGAAACTCCCACCCTTGCATCACATGCCCATTTCTCCCTGGGACCACACCACCCAACTTGTTGTTGGGTGTTGACCTCACTTATCGTCCCGCCCCCTGCAGGCTACAGAGACTCCGGGAGGTGATGGCGGACTCGCGGTACAACATCGACGCCTACATCGTGCCGATGGACGACGAGCACCAGTCCGAGTATGTGTCTCCCCACGACGCCCGCATCGGCTTCATCAGCGGCTTCAGTGGCTCGGCAGGTCAGTAGAGGTCGGGGCGTGCCCTGGGGTCACGTGATCGGTCAGCGCAGTTACGGAGCGGTGGGATGAAGTTCAAGAATCTTCTTTGAGTACTTTCCGCAGTATAGTTATCATCATGATACATGATCATCGTAATTGATAGGCAAGTACCTAATTGAGTCACACCGATGCTAGACTAGAATACTCTTATCCTACGTCACCTACGTCCCATGCTAAAACCACGGTGCCCCGATGTCACATCAGCGGATCCCGGTGTGTGATGGAGGCCGCTGACCTCACCGGCACGTGCTGTCTGGCTGCCATGGTGCCGCTGTCGCGTGCTGTTATTTAGGCGCAGCGCCAGACCACTTTGGCCTAGAATGACGTCGACGATGCCGACAGCCAGGTGACCTATCTCCGTGATACCGAGCCAACCCAAACTTACGGCGTCTGAGTGTCACGCTCCACTTCATTCATAAAAAACATTCATCGGATGGTAAGCCATCAGCAAGTAGTTACGGAGCGAGCGAAGCGAGCGTAGTCTTTCCTTAGATTAACGGAAATTTCTGAGTGTGAGCGGCCGGCCGGCCGTGGTCACGATTCTGCGACGCTTATATCTCAGCAACCACTTGACCGATTTACACGCGGTAATTTTTGTAGGATAGCTTCATTCCTTCTACCAAGTATTGGACTATTCCCGATGCATGTGGGTGACCCCTTATGCACGTGCCACGTGCAAAACGAAGAGGTGTCACTTTTGTGATTGTTGCAACATCTCGGTAACTATTTGGCCGATTGCGCTAAAAGTTGGCATGTAGGTAGGCACCCACTAGGCAATGCATATCCATGTGCCAGAGTTGGGGTGCTGCTGCGCGTGCGCACGTGCAGGGGTCGTTTCCAGATCTCGAGAATGGCTCGACCGATTGCGCTCAAATTTGGCACGTGGTTAGGGACCGGTTAGTAGGGCGCCGTGCAAAAGTCAGTTGGGACCCATTTTGCACGTGCGCACGTGCAGGGTGCCGCTTCCAGATCTCGAGAACGGCTGGGCCGATTGTGCTCAAATTTGGCACATCGCTAGAGACCGGTTAGTAGGGTGCCGTGCACAAGTCAGCTGGAGGTACCCCCTCGAAATTTCGGACGTGCAAGGCTCACCCTCTCGCTCGCTCCGTTATTCGCCCCAAAAGGCGTTATACTGGTGATTAGTTTTGTATACCAATTAGCTAAGACATTTTGATGGATCTCAAATAGTCGCGGAACAAGTTTGGAGCTACTTTATTGATTCGTACTGATCACTCATCAATGATGATTGATGTGACGTTCACTCCCCCCCCCTCCTCCCCGCACATGCACGCGTAACGTTCACTGTCCTCCCCTCCTCCGTGCAGGACTGGCCATTGTGACGAAGGACAAGGCGGCCCTGTGGACGGACGGCCGCTATTTCCTGCAGGCCGAACAGGAGATGGACTGCAACTGGGAGCTGATGAGGAACGGAACTGAACCCAAGGTCAGTACCCGGTCCCAGCGAGTGACTCAGCTGGTGGCGCGGCGCATTGGCCGCACGCAGTCGCCAACACTCGACTCGGTACCATTTAGTTCCGCACTTGTTTAGGTCGTTTGGCGATGATTGTTGCACTTGTGTAACTGTGTTTGTTTTGTATGCACTTACGTTATATGCTTACATAAGGTCGGTGCAAGGATTGACGTACGAGGCGCACATGAAAATATGCTCATTTGCTATTGCTTTATCGTTGCCAATAAATGTGAGGAGCAATGCCTATCATTTTCGAATTATCGCAACAAAAAAACTGAGCATTACTCTACCGAACCAGACCCTCGATTAAAGCTGCTGCACGTTTATATTTACGCTCACAACCACGTTCCTCACTGAATGTTGACAACTGCGTCGTTCGTGCAGCCGCCTTCGGAGGTGCAGTGGCTGACCTCGGAGCTATCTCGGGGCAGCTCTGTGGGTGCCGACCCGCGACTTCTCGCTGCCAAGGACTGGCTCTACATCGACAGCCAGCTCAGAGGTCAGTCTCTCAACGTGCCGTTGCGCTGCGCTGAGGTATTCTGATTTCGATCTGTTTCATTTTTTTGTCTTTTTTTAGTGAAGTTGTTCGTTTATTTATCCGTTCTTCCTTCATTTCCAGTATTGTTTTCACTTATTTTTATCATTGTGTTTCACAGCGGAAGGGATGCAGATGAAGCTGGCCTACGAAAACCTGATTGACCTCATCTGGACGGAAGGGCGCCCGCCTCTATCAGATGAGCCGATTGTAGTTCACAATCTGACATACGCCGGTACGTCCTCGGTAGAACGCTATGATTATAATCGCTAGGTTTGCTATGACACACGAGTGAGCCTGTCTCCTCACCTTGTCTCTTCAGAAGGTCAAATGCTAAAGAATAACATGAATTTGACATTCCATTTTCTCTGAAAACGTATTCTCTCCGCCATATAGCTACCTAATCGACCCACGCAACCGACCCGATTCCTTTATCTCATAGGTAAGACCTGGGAGAGCAAAGTGGAGGAGGCGCGGGACTACATGCGGGAGGAGAAGGTGGAGGTATTGCTCGTCTCGGCACTGGACGAGGTCGCCTGGCTCTTCAACCTGCGCGGAAACGACATCCCACACACACCCGGTATGGGACAGCGGACAATCGATATTCCGTGCTCGACATCACGTCCTCTGAATATCTGTAAAAAAAGTTGCAGGGGTCCATTTGATGTGAAGATAGTCCTATGGTTGACCGGGCTAGCGCAGTCATCGTGTTTCGGGTATACCCGAAACACCATTGGTTTGTATACAAACCAATCAAGCGTGATCATGACTACCTCAACTGTCACCATCCTTCCGTCTGATATGTCGTATTCTGTCGGCAGTTTTCAAGGCGTATGCAGTGATTGACTCCGACAGCGTCCATCTGTGGGTAGACCCCGACAAACTGACGGACGAAGTGAGACAGCACCTCAGAGCTCCCGGATGTCAGATCGGGGATATGTGTGTCACGTGAGTACGGGCTTACTAAAGGCACTGGAAACACGACTTTTTTATCTCACTTACCACACGTGAGTGATGGTTTCCATTGTAAACCACATCAATAATTTGCCTTAGCTCTCTTGTGTCGAGGACGCAGCTTTCCTTATGAACTGTATATGGATTTCGACAAGAGAGTAATGATTGTTTGGTCAGTAAGTGTGTTTGTGGAGGAAACATTGTCTATTTAGTTTATGTTATTTTAAATCGTGATATGTCTCTCGGGAAGACGGATGTACTTTGCTGACGTACTTCTTTATGTCATCTAGGTTGCATTTTTATCAAGAAGTGCTTCACAACTTTGGAACCTACATCCGGCAGAAGTGGAAGGGAAAGATTCTTCTCCCTGACGAATCGACTTTTATTGATAGTGTTAGCTTTTCTTTTTACAACCAGGTAATAATAATATTGTTTACATTGCTTTGTAGTGTGTACTCCTGGCACTGATTTAACCCTATTAGTGGCAGGGGGGGGGGTGTTTTTATCCACCCCTCAGGTTTTTCGGGAATATCTCCGAAACCTCTGAAGCTACGATGCTGAAATTTTTTGACTTTTCCTAAAACTAAATTGGGCACATTCCCTGAAAATTTCAAGTTCATAACTTTACCAGGGGCGGCTCCAGAGCACTGGGAATTGGGGGGTCCTATTCGTGAAGCGAGTCATTTGGGCGAAGATCACGATGCTGCACCAGTTTTACGAACAGTGAATGAAAGGTATCATGTGATAACATATACAGTTATTGTGCATCCTCTTTTGACACGTTTTTGCTATAATAGGCGGATCCAGGCGTCCAAAAAGGGGGGTTATGTTTTACCTCCCAACATAGGTGCCCTGACACCGCCTATGCATGACCAATACAATTGTAGTGTTCTTTCATAAGAAAATTGTAACATAACAAGACCATTACCACCCTTTTTAGAAACAGTACCAACAAAAACCTTATTAACTATACTTTTTGTGTACCCCCAATCTCAATGATCTGTATCCGCCTATGATTTTTGAAAATGCATATTTTTAGGATCCATGTGAATTCCTGGTTCATTCTCTATCGATCGGCAAAAGTTGCGTTAAGATTGGCTCAGAAACCTGGCCGTGATAAACAGTCTAAAATGTATCTGCAATATGCTCGTTTTTACCCCCCTCTACCCCCCTATTGACATTTTTTTAATTTTTTTTTAGAAATTTAGATCTCGTTGAGCCAAATCGAATGCCGTTTGAATTTTGAAAATCGGCCGGTTAGATCTCGAGATATCAAGGGGGGGTCGTAAACAGCCCCCCCCCCCTGCCACTAATAGGGGTAGCCAGGAGCCTGCCACTAATATGGTTAAAACGGGAATTTGATCAGCATTATCTGGCTTTTCGCGTCTAAGCTCTGTACTAAGAAAAACCTTCAATTTTCTGAATTTGAGCGTAACAACGAAGGCAGTGATCTGACAAAGTTAGCTTCAGCCTGACAAGTTGATAAGTCGAGAGAAACACATGTTGATTACTTTTTGTTTGTCAGGTTCCAGCCTCAAGGTTGGTGTTTGTCGAGTCTCCGATTGTGCGCATGAAAGGAAGGAAAAATGAAGTCGAGATTGCGGGGATGAAAGCTGCCAACAAGCGCGACAGCGTAGCTCTCTGCGAATTTCTGGCCTTCATGGAAGAGGAGGTGAGTAATACACGAAGAGAGATGAGGTTAGCTCAAGCTGTGACATAAATTGCCGACTCTCTAAAACGTGTCGCCCTCCCCTACAGATTCACGCTGGCAAAGAGTGGGACGAAATATCCGCTGCCGAAAAACTCAAGGAATTCCGCGCTGAGCAGACGCTGTTCCGCGGGATTAGCTTCGAGACCATCTCAGCCTTCGGAAGCAACGGTGCCGTCATCCACTACGCGCCGAGTAACGCCACCAAGCTCCCCATAGACACCAGCTCCACCTACCTGCTCGACTCCGGAGGTGAGTACTGAGTACCTACTGAGTACTGAGTACCAAGTACCGAGTACCGAGTAACGTTACCAAGCTCCCCATAGACACCAGCTCTACCTACCTGCTCGACTCGGGAGGTGAGCCCATAGTACTGAGCCCAACCTACAGTAGCTAAGTACTCGCACACGATTACTGAGTACTCAGTTCCATGCACCGAGTACTAAGCAATATATGTAGATGCATGACCAGCTCAAGTTTGATATCCCAGTTGGAAAGGGGAGATGAGTATCGGCATATGTTTGAACTATCTGCTACAAATGGCCATGGGAGGTGATTGCGGCTGAAGATAATGCAAAAAAGAGGGTGCGGGGACCAATGAAGTGGAGAGAGAGAGAGAGAGAGAGAGAGAGAGAGAGAGAGAGAGAGAGAGAGAGAGAGAGAGAGAGAGAGAGAGAGAGAGAGAGAGAGAGAGAGAGAGAGAGAGAGAGAGAGAGAGAGAGAGAGAGAGAGAGAGAGAGAGAGAGAGAGAGAGAGAGAGAGAGAGAGAGAGAGAGAGAGAGAGAGAGAGAGAGAGAGAGAGAGAGAGAGAGAGAGAGAGAGAGAGAGAGAGAGAGAGAGAGAGAGAGAGAGAGAGAGAGAGAGAGAGAGAGAGAGAGAGAGAGAGAGAGAGAGAGAGAGAGAGAGAGAGAGAGAGAGAGAGAGAGAGAGAGAGAGAGAGAGAGAGAGAGAGAGAGAGAGAGAGAGAGAGAGAGAGAGAGAGAGAGAGAGAGAGAGAGAGAGAGAGAGAGAGAGAGAGAGAGAGAGAGAGAGAGAGAGAGAGAGAGAGAGAGAGAGAGAGAGAGAGAGAGAGAGAGAGAGAGAGAGAGAATCTTCTTGCTTTGAACTATTTTGTTCTGTTACAATAGTATTATTTGGCCTGTTCTGAAATATTCAATTTGTACTTTACCGGCTACATCGTGGTCAAGATGCCATCTGTTTAGGATACTTGACAAATATTTTCATCGGTTGACTTTTAAACGAAGTAAATTTTTGAAGAGCAAACAAGTTATTACGTACCAACCTACGAAAGCAGGCAATCCGCTTCATTGCTCGAATTCAACAATCAACATACTCAAACGATCCTCTCTCGATCTTCAATTCCTTTCAACACAACTAGCGAATAATCAAATAGGCAGCGGGACAAGTGCCAGCGAACGAACGAATACTTAGGTATGTATATGTCGCACGGCGAAGCTTTTCGAGCACTGGTTTTCGAGACTGTGCGAGACTCGGCGACTGTACGATCATCTGATCGTCCATGCACCGCGCACCGCGAGAGCGCACTTAGTACATAGCGCCGGCCCGACGGGGAAATAATTTACAACAGCTCGTCACCTGAGAGTGGGATTTTCAGGCATGGGCTTTCAGTCTGCCGTTGCGTTTGCATCTGCTCCCGCTTACACGTAGTGCCTTGATCACAGTCTTTGTTGGACTGAATGTGCGCATTGCGTTATATTAGTGCCTTGATCACAGTCTTTGTTGGGCTGAATGTACGCATTGCATTTGCTAAATAAATGCATAAATGAAATGAATGCATTTGGTGCCGGTGCGTCTGCATTAACTTCGCTGGTTTTCTTCAAACGACATGGTAAGCTTATGCCTTGCTTTTAGTGTTTCAGTTTATGCAAACTTTCACTGGAAAATGGCAGCTTTGGCGCGTGTAACACGATTTGATACTTAGCGTTCGATGCTCTGCAGAGCACCGATTGCTTCAGTTCTTTGCTGAGCCTTTTGCCCCACCGATAGCGCGAAAATAAGCGCGCTAAGCTTCCCGCATTTTACAAAATTATACTCCCAATAATGATCAATGCTTGGACAAAAATGCCGATATGCATTGCCATTTTAATTCAAGTGAAGAGCTAGTTTGCTGAAATTAAATATTACCTACAAATTTCCTTCGATATGGAAGTTGAACCACATTTCAATTTTTTCAGCGAATCGTTACAAAATGTGCATTTATTTTATATGTTTCCTAGGAAGTATTTTTTCTTTTAAATATAGTTATGTCGTGTTCATATAAGTTATATGTGATTTATTCTCGATCACTGCACTCGAACCCGTTTGATGTCGTGTTCCTCTGACCTCAGGTCAGTACCTGGACGGTACCACAGATGTGACCCGCACCATGCACTACGGACAGCCGACCGAGTTTCAGAAGGAGGCCTACACCCGCGTCCTGATGGGAGTTATTGACCTGGCCACAACAGTGGTCAATAGAAAGATCACTGATACACAGGTAGGTCAGGACGCCGCAATTTCGGCATATCTAGATGATATGACAAATTGATATTGCATTCGCGATGTGTTAGGAGCTTCTCAAAGCACGCTGGAAAAAGAAGAACCCTAGATATCAGAGGATATGCTGTCGTTTTGTGAGTAATATTACTTCCAAGAAAATTTAGGAGGGCACCCTAACCAAAAGCAATGAAATAGCACAAGTATAATGTCATTAGTCCGACGTGGCGGGCAGCTCGGGCAATATTTCTTGCCTAACTTTGTAGATCTCCGCAAATTCCTACCGAGCACCGTAACTAATTAGGTATGTACAGGCGGGCAGAAATATTTTCTTTGGTATGTATTATAAAAACATGTAAGATAATATGTTGGACGAAGAAGAAGGGAAATCACTCTTCCCGGTTCCCACTTTTATTTAGCTGTATACCCTAAATAGCTTATTTCTTCGATTTCTTTACATTGACTGAAAAGAAACCAACGGATATAAAACAATAAGTGCAAATTACTACCTTTATTTATTCACATGATGTGCGATGACCTAAATGACTCTATAGTGCTTGGGTACCGAGTGGGTAGTGTCAGCACTCAGCAGTGACCCCATGTGACCTTGCCTCGGTCCCTGACCCCGCAGCTGGAGATTGTGGCTCGCGAGCCACTGTTCAGAGCTGGGCTGAGCTACCGACACGGCTCCGGACACGGTATCGGATCCTATCTCGGCATCCACGAAGGTGTGGAATTACGTATTGTACAAACATCAGCTTGTGTTGGCAAAGTGGGTGCTACTGGCTAGTGGCACTGCTGTTTTTTATGATTCCAAGGCTACATGTCATCCAATTAAATATAATCTTCTTTAATATTCACAATGCGCAAAAGCTGTGTTGTTAAATGAAAAATATCATGTCGCTTGCATAGGTTCGCACCGGTACCTTTAATTGCAACTGTCGTGTACATTAACCTTACTTATTTTGTGTTCCAGGTCCCATTAATATTTCTTTCAGGAACAAATTGCCTCATGTTTTTGAGCTAGGACAGTTCCTGTCTCATGGTGAGTGGATTTATACTGTAGCATTTTATTAAAGCTAAAACGCTAAAACAGTGTGCTGCTCTGCAAATGACAATGCAGACATTTAAATGGTAAATAATGACATGTTCTGTTACGTGGCTTGATTACAAAGCGACATTGTACGTAAGATGATATGGTTGACATTATACTTGTCGGTCGTCTACCTACCAGCTCGTCAAGTGAAAGTCAAAAGAAAGCATTTGCCACTCAAGTGTCCGATGTTCGTAGATATTGCTGTGACAAAAAGCAATCATCTTTGTTTTCTCTAATTTTACTTTCCCTTTAACTGGTATCAACTTTTTCGTCTTGTTTCGGTTAATTGTTTTGACAGCTATCAACGTCGATAATTTGCAGAGCCTGGGTTCTACAAAGATGGGAGCTTTGGCATTCGTCTAGAAAATATAGTGTTGGTAAAGAACGCCGAAACTAAGGTAAATTAAAATACGATTTTTACGTTGTCCGTAGTGAAGCATTCGTAGCTATAATTCTTAAAATATTGCTTATGAGGGATATGATCAAGTTTGGGGGGTTTTGAACGTGGCAGAATCGTTTAAAATTTAATGTGTGTAGGACATGCACCTAGGTTGCCAGTTTATCATGATACTTTAAGGTGACCTTTCGCTACCATCATCGTTTTTGTGATATTGGACAGCGACCCAATACCAATTATGCATGTTTCAGCACAATTTTGACGGGCCTTACATGACATTCGAGCCGGTCACCCTGGTGCCGTTTGAGCGCGATCTCATTGAGCCAGATTTGATGACCGTGGACCAGGTAAGAACAGACGGCAGCGGGAGATGCGTCGCTGTTCTGTGAGCTTCTCGAGTTGAAGTTGACTAAGCATGATAAACTTGACCAGATTATAACATATTTTGGTGGAATGAGCTCATATCAGACGATAAATACTAAGTTCCAGAGAAAAAGATAACGCCAATCGTATGCCCAGTAGGTAGTAGGTACCCACTAAACACGGGCTTGAGGTTGGTGGGTACGCAGTGCATACGCTCACACCCTTCACCGGCTGCCGCCGTTTTTCCCGCAGGTGCAGTGGCTGAATGAGTACCACCAGCTGGTAGAGCAAGAGATGGGCGCCGTCCTGCGACAGGGGAATCGGCAGAGGGCTCTGCGCTGGCTCACAGCCCGCATCGCTCCGATAAAGCCGGCGAATATGACGCCATCTGCCTGACTCGGGAAAATGACTTTCAGCTAGCAGCACTGCCGCTGCTAATTACCTGGAGTCTCAGCTGATAATAATACTCTGCGTTCTGCTGTTTATTTTGAGGCTTGTGTTTTATTGTGTCGCCTCAACTTCATATTTGTAGAACGCCATTTGTTGCTAACGATGAATTCTTTTGTTTGTGAACTCGGTCATTTTATGAACTAAGGGGTTAACATTTATTCGAGGCTGTGTCTTTTAATTTTGATTCGAATCATCCCTAACCTTTCACATCCGTCCGTCGTTTCCATCCTCAGGACTTTCAAATCCTCCTTCTCCACGCCGCAGCCCTCGGTCTGGGCTGGATAGGCAACTTTATCTCATGCGGGCTGCTCCCTTGGAGCGGCTCCGCTGCTCCCAAGGGAGCACACCCCTAGCCGGGTGCAGTAAGTACTTGGGGACTTGGGGGTGGGGGGGGGGGGCTGGTCGGCCTGTCCTTTGGGACGGACTCAGCCCCGGTGACTTACTAGGATGCCTGCCCAGGCCAATGTCTCCTCCCTCTTAATTCCTATCATCCTTCCGGCTCTGAAATGGTCTTGCCAGACCGAAAGGGCCTAACCCAACGAAAAAAAAACCTTACCTTTAGCTCTTTGTGATATTTACTTTACTTTGTTTATCCAACTGTACTGGCGAGCAGTGTGTTTTTACGAACTCAATCATCTTAGTATAGAATATGCCTGTAAGTTTTATGAAATAACGTTTTCTGTAATATACTGTTACTACGAAATGCGAAGTCTTTAGATGTGGACGCATTCTCAACATCGATCGCTCATCGAACTTTCCAAAGCATGATTTAGCCTTGAGCAACGATGAGTAGGGTTCACTCAGTTACTACGCGAATATCGATATAATTTTCAGTGTGTATTGGTCCCAAGTCACGCGTGACGAAGCCTTATAAATTTGATCTGCACATATGCACTTTGTATATTTTTTCATCGTATGTAATGTGATGTTATTCGCAAATAGCTTGGCCGTTTAATAAGCATTTGCATGCGTATTGCGTATGAAATGTCTGTAGGAATGAGCACAGCCATATTTGACCAAAACAGTGTGTATCTTGCATCATGTTGCTGTCCACTTAGCAAAGGCAGACATATAGAGTGATCGCTATGTAAAATAGCTGACTTCTGTTAGCATGGTAATCAGAACACATATTATCTTTATGTAGATCCTCATCACATTGATGCACTAGAAGCGTTCATATGATCTATGGCACCCGTTAAAAAGCGATGGCCTGGCTATAGTCATTACATGGATGTGACTTCACTAGCAGCTTTTTTTACCTTCCCTTTTGTCTTTCTCGCCAGGTCAGTATCTGGACGGTACCACAGATGTGACCCGCACCATGCACTATGGACAGCCGACTGAGTTTCAGAAAGAGGCCTACACCCGCGTCCTGATGGGTGCCATAGACCTGGCAGACCTCATTGTCAATAACAATACCGTAGACATGCAGGTAAGAGACGTGATCTGTCTGTCTTCCTGTCTTTCTCTGTCTCTGTCTCTGTCTGTCTGTCTGTCTGTCTGTCTGTCTGTCTGTCTGTCTGTCTGTCTGTCTCTGTCGTCTGTCTGTCTGTTTGTCTGTCTGTCTCTCTCCCCCTACCCCCCCCCCCTCTCTCTCTCTCTCTCTCTCTCTCTCTCTCTCTCTCTCTCCGTCCATCTCACGGCTGTCTGTGTTTATTTCCAGCTCAGTTTGACTGTACGCCAACCGCTGTTCACCGCCGGCCTCAGCTACAGACACGGTTCGGGTCATGGCATCGGCTCCTACCTCGCCGTACATGAAGGTCAGGCTTACACCAATCACATTGGTGTGATGATTGGAGCCTAGAGACGTTCTTTTTTTAAATCGGTGAATGTCTAAATACATTAATGTATGTAGATTGCTTCACGGTTTGTGTTTAGGCATTGCGATACTACTTATTCGTAATTATTTCGTTGTAATGTCACAAAACGCTCTACATAACTATGTGATTCATGATGTTTTCTGTGCAGCTTCGTCGGCTTCGTCATGTTTTATTCATTATATATCGCTTGGGTTTAAATATGACGTCAAAAGTCACGCCATCTGCTAGAACAAATAAGCCCTAACTTGCAGTAATGTGCAATTTGTTACACTTTTTATCTCCCAATACTAAGTACAGATAATTATATGCAATCAGAAACAAAAAGGAAACACCTTTGCGTTTACGCCTTACTTAAATTAGCTCAACTAATTTGCATTTCATTGCACTTCTTGGAGCCACATATAGGGTGAATAGGTCAAAAACGCCCCCCTTAAGCGCGAAACCTTCTGACACGCAACCCAACACAGATTACTGAAACCTTTGGGCACCATCATGTAGCTCATTCTTTTTACTACGTTTTGAGACCAAGAAAATACACCTGCGTGTGGTATTTAACCCCCCAAAAAGGTTTTAGCATACCCTTGCAAAAGGGCGTTTTGCCCCATACCCTGGGTAATACGCCCACACCCATGTGCAAAGCGCCCCCACCCCATCTATCAACAGAAAATGATGAACATGGCAGAACTTGACGTCATTCTGACGTCATTTTTGGTCAACCTATCATAGCCTTTGGAATAAAATTTTGTTGTAATGTGTAAAATGGATGCCCGGAGGAGTCCTGAAAGTTTGGTGACGATATCTGCAGTCGTTTAGGATATATCAGCAAAAAAGGACAGGGAGAGGCCTTTTCGGCCCCGACCTATAGGGCGCTACCCTGCACTCTCACCACCGTGCAAAACGCCCCCCTTTCAGAAAACCGGGGGCGTCTTGCCCCATGCATCGAGTAGGCGTCTTGCCCCATCCACTCCATTTCCGGTCAGCAAAATATTGACAAAAAATGCGCCACTAACGCCGCAGCATAATATATTCAACAGAATGACAATAAAACGCAGTTTTGAGTGATGTGCACAATAGCAACGTTTGTGATATAAAGAGGGCATCAAACTATTAGGAATCTTCTGTAAAAACAACAAAAACAACATCCAAAACCAACATCAGTACCTACCCACGCTGCTCCTCAAGACTCAGAACCGGAAATAGAGACCTACGTAAACAAGCAGCTGACTGTTCTGAAAGACAGGATAAAACACCTATCCGTCGATAAGAAATACGATTTTTTTAGGGGAGGCGTTTAACCCAGGGGTGCGTTTTCCCCACAGTTACCTACCCTAAGCCTTCGTAATTATGGTTATGCCTGGAAATTGCATCAATTCCGATGCTACCTTGAATTGTTCTGTTAATAAACATTAAACATGTTTCATTTTGTTTATCAGCTTTTAGTAAACGTTTCAATTGATACCAATATATCACTGTCTATTGTTCCATGGTTGTTTCCACTTTTACCTATTCAATCAGCATGCATCACTTTTGATGGTATCGCTAGCTACCCTTTGTCTTACGGTCACGTCGGTCACCCCGTTTGGTCAGATCTACGGGTCATTTCGAACAAATTTCATCAAAATCGAAGGGGGTCGGGTCAATTATTGATGGATTTGGTGTGGAATAACCAAAATATCCGGTAACACCACCATGCGTGTGCGGCAGGGCCGACCCTGATATCAACCAGCCGGAGAGCTGGGCATCTACTGGAAGTGGGACAGTTCTTTTCCGACGGTAAGTTTTAATTGCTCATGCCTGCGACTCTTCAGAATATCTCACATGTATTTCAGTAATAGTAAACAACAGCTGTGCTAGCGAATAGCGATACTATGATTTTCAAAAACCGCTGTTTACGAACAGACTGTGTGACGTTTGTTTCAGAGCCCGGATATTATCATGGAAGAGATTTTGGTATTCGTCTGGAGACGATACTTCTCGTGACGGAGGCCTCCACTCAGGTAACGAGTGCGCTGAGTCTGTCTATTGTGCGGTATGTTGCCGTGACATAATTGCTGGAACTCGTAGGAGAAGCGTGGTGCCGTGTTCACGCGTAAGGTCGCACTGTTCCCATTTCGTCCGTGACGACGTATTGAGAGGAAAACAATTATAACGCAAAACACTTCCATTGTTTCAGTACAACTTTGACGGGCCGTACATGAAGTTTGAGCCGGTCACTCTCGTACCTTTCGAAAGGAGTATGATCATCCCGGAGCTCATGTCTAGTCGTCAGGTAAGATATAAGCGTGGTCCAATGAATAATTTGGTAATCATACTAATGAGTAAAAAACCTATTGCTGGCACCATAGTGTAATTACGAGCGAGCGAGCGCAGCGAGCGAAGCGAGTCTTTTCAATATAACGGAAAAACCTCAGTATGAGCGGCCCGGCCCGGCCCGGCCTGTAACGCTTTTGAGAGGCTTATATCTCAGCAACCGCTGGACCGATTGACCTGCGGTCTTTTTTGTTGGGTAGCCCCATCCCTTCTACCCCGTAATATACTACTTTTGATACATCTCAGTGACCGTCGTGGCACGTGCCACGTGAAAAGTCAAGGGTGTTCAAGCTGTTTTGCAAAAGTACTGATTTTGAGAGGCTCATATCTCAGCAGCCGCTTGGGCGATTGTCTTGCGGTAATTTTCGTAGGGTAGCTGCATCCCTTCTACCAAAAATAGGATACTCTCGATGCATGTGGGTCACCCCCAGTGCACGTGCAAAATACAACAATAAGAGGTGTCAAATTTATTCCCATTTAATAACTCGGTAATTACTGGGGCGATTTCGCTGAAACTTGGCATACAGATAGGCACCCACCAGGCAATGCATTCCCATGTGTTGCGGCTGGGGTGCTACTGCACGTGCGCACGTGCAGGGGGCGTTTCCAGATCTCGAAAACGGCTGGGCTGATTGCGCTCAAATTTGGTACACGGTTGGGGACCAGTTAGTAGGGTGCCGTGCAAAAGTCAATTTGGACCCCGTTTGCACGTGCGCACGTGCAGAATGCCGCTTCCAGATCTCAGGAACGGCTGGGCCGATTGCGTTCAAATTTGGCACACTGCTAGCAACCGGTTAGAAGGGTGCTTTGCACAAGCCCGTTGGAAGTACCCTCTCGCCGTTCCGCACGTGCAGGGCTCACTATCTCGCTCGCTCGTTCGTCGCCCAAAAGGCGTTTTACTGGTAAATAACACTATGCTGTTAACACTATATTATTACGAGCGAGCGAGCGCAGCGAGCGAAGTGAGTCTTTTCAATATAACGGAAAAATCTCAGTATGAGCGGCCCGGCCCGGCCCGGCCCGGCCTGTAACGCTTTTGAGAGGCTTATATCTCAGCAACCGCTGGACCGATTGGCCTGCGGTCTTTTTTGCTGGGTAGCCCCATCCCTTCTACCCCGTAATTGACTACTTTTGATACACCTCAGTGACCGTCGTGGCACGTGCCACGTGAAAAGTCAAGGGTGTTCAAGCTGTTTTGCAAAAGTAGTGATTTTGAGAGGCTCATATCTCAGCAGCCGCTTGGGCGATTGACTTGCGGTAATTTTTGTAGGGTAGCAACATCCCTTCTACCAAAAATAGAATACTCTCGATGAATGTGGGTCACCCCCAGTGCACGTGCAAAATACAACAATAAGAGGTGTCAAATTTGTTCCCAATTTATTAACTCGGTAATTACTGGGGCGATTTCGTTGAAACTTGGCATACAGGTAGGGACCCACCAGGCAATGCATTCCCATGTGTTGCGGTTAAGGTGCTACTGCACGTGCGCACGTGCAAGGGGCGTTTCCAGATCTCGAGAACGGCTGGGCCGATTGCGCTCAAATTTGGTACACGGTTGGGGACCAGTTAGTAGGGTCCGTGCAAAAGTCAGTTTGGACCCCGTTTGCACGTGCGCACGTGCAGAATGCCGCTTCCAGATCTCAGGAGCGGCTGGGCCGATTGCGTTCAAATTTGGCACACCGCTAGCGACCGGTTAGAAGGGTGCTTTGCGCAAACCCGTTGGAA